TGAGAAATCAACACCTGAAATTCTTAACTGGATATAGGCACTTCTGTGGGCATTAGCGAGAGTGCTCACTTGAGAATCAGAGGACCACTCTTTCAGTCTTGGCTCTGCCTCGTAGAGCTCTCTGCCCTTATCAGACACCAGTCTCTCCTGGCCTAGGCTTCTTTATGTGAAAAAGGAGACAATTGTACTAGACAATTTCTAGGGATTCTCCCAGGCTCAACTCAAGATGGATTCTCCATCACCCGGGGCTCTCGCCTGTCTTTTTCTAACTCCCTAAGGAGCCCTGGTGGCACAGTGGCTAAGTGCTAGGCTGCCAACCAATAAGTCAATGCTTTAAACCCAACAAGCCCTCTGAGGGGGAAAGAGGTGGCAGTGTGCTTCAGTAAATATTTCAGCCTCATAAACCGGATGGGCCAGTGCTGCTCTGTCCCATAGGGGTGCATTCTACTCAATGATGACAGGGTTGTTGCTTTTGTTTTGACCGGCCCCCAGGTCTAGAAAATAGACAGACACAAGAATCAGAGATAGCAGTGGCTGGAACACTAGGGCTTTTGTGTTTGTCCCTGTATTCTGTTCTACTGATCTCCGGTGTGAGACCAGCAGGGGAACGCCAAGCTACTGGAGTGAAGCTTGCTGTGCTAGAACACTCTCTGCTCAATTTGCTGACCTAGGAAAGGAAAATCCCAGCATTAAACCCTTTGTTATCCTTTCACCATGTATTGTCACTCTCCCTCTCACACACACACACACACACACACACACACACACACACACACACACACACACAACCACCACCACCACCACCACGCTCAATCCCAGGTCCTAATGATGACTCCTAAGCATGCCTGAATGGTGGTTAGCATTCTCCAAAGGCACAGATGAATGAATCTGGGTCCTAAAACGGGTCCAGAAAGACATCATTTCCTGACTCAGATGAGACTAGATTTGGCAGATATACATTTTCTAAGCAAAGTAATAGTTGCTGTAACGTGAAGCAGAGTGACAGCCTCTCTTATTTGACTCTGTTTGAGACATGGAAATGGAGCCACAGAAACCACCTGAGGCCGCTCTCTGAAGCTGTAGGCAAATATGTGATGCAAAGAAGCCAGCGAGCTGTGCTCCTCCAACCCACTTACTCTTAGGCGTCCGCTGTGCCCAGGGCAGCAAAGAGGAAGAAGGACTCTCCCCTTTCTACAGAACCACAAAGTGCCACAACTGGGGTTTGGACTCTGATCTCCCTGGCTCCAAACGGAGTCTTAATACTGACAATGAAATAGAAGAAAGGTTATTGATTGAATTTTCATTGATTGAATTCCATTGATGAGCAACTTTTTATGTTGGCTATTTGTATTTCTACTATCAATGACCTGTTCGTGTTTTTGGACCCAGTTTTCTTGTTTCTCCTTTGTCTTCATCGTTATTGATTTGTAAGCATTTCATGTATGTGGGGGTCATTCCCCCTTACATTGAGAAACTTTGTATTCTAGTATCAAGTAGTCCTGGTGGCCCTGTGGGGTAAGCTTTGGTAACCAAATGGAAGGTTGGGGGTTCAAACCCACCAGCCACGGGAGACAGAGAAGGCACCTGCTGCAGTAAAGATTTACAGCCTCAGAAACCTCTATAAGGTCACGATAAGCCAGGCTCTGTGGGGTGGCAGCATATGGAGCATTCTATTCTAGTGGGGTTCTGCTTTGTTTTGTTTTTAACATGTCTTTGGTCCGTCCAGTGTTCATTTTGGGGTGAGATGTAAGGAGAACGATTCATTTTCTCCCATGGCTTGGCATTCCTTCCAGTGATGGTTATGAAAGATCTACCCTTTCCGCACTAGGCTGAGATCCTACCCTACTCACATAAACAAAATTCCATCGTTTTTGCTTCAGCGTCTTCCAAAAGCAATACAATTGTTGTAGGTGGACAACGGAGGGAGACCTGGGCAGAGCTGGACTGGAAGGGATAAGAAGGGGCCCTCGCCCTCACAGAAGGACCCTCCATGTTCCCAGGATGAGGCAGATCATGTTCTCCTCAGATCCCTGTGCACAGAGCAAGCACACAAGGGTCTGGCAATTGCAAACCTGAGCGAACCTGCAGTGTACAACCGGACATTCTAACGATCTTCCCAGAGCAAACATTCAAATGAATGAGTCCAGTGTCCAGGGTATGAATAAAAACACGCAGGCCACGAGCCAAAGCCTGCTAAGACTCTCTGCATTAAGATAAAGTGGCCAGTATTACTGGTCTCAAATTTTTACATTTACATTATTTCAATGATTTAAGTGTTTTGAATCATAATTTTAAGGTCCTTTTTGGTGGGTCCTGTCCAAAGTGATCTTTCCCCTTAGTTTAGGCAACTGGAACTGAAACATCTAAAATGTATCCTTCAGAATTGACCTGGACTCATTTCCTAGAACAGTCATAACAAAATGCCACAAATCAGGAGATTGATAAGAGAATGAATTGATTGCATTATAGCTCGGGAAGCTAAGAAGCCCAAACGGGGGTGCTGGCTGTGCTGTGTTCATGCCTCTGAGGGATCTGGGAGCCTGTCTCCCCGCTTCTGATGACAACTGGCATGCCTGGAGGCGAATATCAGTGATAGGGCCCAGATAACTGAGCGACTGATTCACTGTTGTAATGGCCACTTAAATATAGAAAACAATATTCCAAAAGGTAGCTTATTATTTCATACAGTTAATATTTGAATCAGAACACTAAAAGAGGTACACAAAACTAGATTATATTATAAGAAACCATTTTAAAATATTAAATAATAACCTCACAAATAAACCATAAAACTATTATTTGAGATATTTCCATGTTGTTTCTTGATCGGTATCTTCATTTGCAATATTCTTCACTTTTAAACAAGCATCACTGGCTCAGATGTATCCTTAGCCATCTTTTCACTGTAGAAGTAGGATCCCATTCTTTTGCAGCGGTTCTCAACCTATGGGTCGCGACCCCTTTGAGAGTAAAACGACCTTTTCACAGGGGTCGCCCAATTCATAACAGTAGTAAAATGACAGTGATGAAGCAGCAATGAAAATAATTTTATGGCTGGGGGTCACCACAACATGAGGAACTGTATGAAAGGGTTGCGGCTTTAGGAAGGTGAGAACCCCTGCTTTAGAGGTAGGCAACTAGACGATAGTCACTGTGTTTGACCTATTAGAAACAGACAACTTATCTGAACATACTATGTGCATCTTTGAAATAAACCCTTCCGCTTCTGCTGAGCTTACGGAAATTGTTCTGGTAACAGGTTTAGATCTTTGAACACTTTTAGGAATGGCATCATTCACCAGAAACATCTTGTGGGAATTTGGAGTAGAACACAAAGATGAAATGAATGACAATGTGCCGCCCTCAGGCTGCTGGGCACTTTTTCTCTTTACATAAACATGTTTGTTTACAGAAATAATAAATATGGATAAAATAAATCCTACCAAGGGTGCTAAGAATACACTCTTGTGCAGATGAACATTTTAAAAAGAGTAAGGAATGCAAATTTGGAATTTCCACATGGGGTGGCTGACCAGCTGCTCACCTTGGAGAGAACTCGGATGACAAGCGCCATTTGAACCACTGGTTCTCCGAACTCAACAAACGGTGCCGTCAAAGGAGTGCGAGCTGGCTGAGTCCCATCTCTGGTGCCGATGGCACTTCGCATGGGCATTGCTCTCTCTGCCTCTTGGCATCTTTTCTCTTTTGATGAGCACTCTGGTTTCCTACCATTAGGAGCCACCCTCCTGCAGCATGACCTCCTATGAACCCCTTTCCACACAAGGTCAAGGACCCTCTTTCCACACAAGGTCACATTCCCAGGTGTTAGGACTTCAAAAGACCCTTTGGCAAGACAGGAACCCAGAACAGCGCCTGTACCACATAGCACTTGGCGGTTTCCACCAAATCACACTGGGCGTGGGACTCATCTCCCCGCCCCGGAGACACGGGTACAGGGAAGAAGTGGAGTGTGAGCTACAGGGAGCATGCCTGCTCGGTTTCCCTGACGTCTGTGCGATCTGGGAATCCTTTGGACCCAAGTCCTCTCCCAGGGTGACTAGCCAAAGCCTCCACAAAGCTTCCATCTGAGAAGAAAGGCTTCCACTTGCCTACAAAGACGGTAAGACCTTGAATTCCTCACTTCCAGGAGGCCATCCTGTTGTCTAAGCCACGTGTGGGGCCATCAGGAAAGTGACCTGCCCAGTTTGGGGCTGGTGACTCCGAGCCCTGACTTTGTGAAGAGACTCCTGTTGAGAACCTTTCCATGTGCTGGCAGCCACTGGCAGACAGTCTGAAGTAAAACTTAAAAGCATTATGTGTGGATGAGCGGTTCTCTACACAAGTTTCCGACTTCCCCGGGCATTCGATAGACAAAGCACAGCAAGACATTGTCAACGTGGAAACGCAGGGAGTCTAGGACAGATAGACCCCTCAGGACCAATAATGAGAGTAGCAATACCAGGAGGGGAAGAGGAAGGTGGGGGGAGAATGGGGGAACCAATCACAAAAATCTACATATAACCCCCTCCTCCTTGGGGGACGGACAACAGAAAAGTGGGTGAAGGGAGACATCAGTCAGTGTAAGACATGAAAAAATAATAATTTATAAATTATCAAGGGTTCATGAGGGAGAGAGGATAGGGGAGCGAGGGGGGGAAATGAGGAACTGATACCAAGGGCTCAAGTAGAAAGAAAATGTTTTGAAAATGATGATGGCAACATATGTACAAATGTGCTTGACACGATGGATGGATGGATGGATGGATGGATGGATGGATGGATGGATGGGTGGATGGGTGGATGGATGGATGGGTGGATGGGTGGATGGGTGGATGGATGAATGATGATAAGAGCTGTAAGAGCCCCCAATAAAATGATTTTAAAAACAAAAAGACATTGTCAACACGAGTCCATCTACAGAGCTTTGGTGCTGGACCTTGGCCTCCAGCCCGGAGGTTCAAGGGGATCAGTAGGTCAGACTGTCCCTTTCCTCCTTACAGGTAGTAATTGAGTCAGACCTCTACGCATCCCGGCCCCTGGAGCTGCTGCCACATCGCAGTGACCGCCTCCACGGCCGAGACAGTGAGGCCTGCAGGTTTGGCCGGCTTCAGAATGCGCGGCAGCAAGGACCCCATCCCGCCAAAACCCCTGTCCGACCTGGTAAGTTAGTCCCAGTGGCTAACCACAAGGTCAGCAGTTCAAAACCACCAGCCACTCGGAGGTGGGAAAAGGAGGCTTTCTACTCCCATGAAGAGTTACCCTCTCAGAAACCCACAAAGCAGTTCTATCCCGTCCTATGGGGCCACTATGAATCAGAATTGACTCAATAACAGTGAGTTTCTGGTTTGGAGTTCCGGGAAACTCCCTGGAGGGTGGGGAGCAACCATAACCAATTACACTTCTGAGAAAGCGCTGTCCCTGGCAGGACTTGCCCTCCTTAGAGCACCTACGGTGTGGGGATGATGCCTTTCCCAAGTAAATGCTGTAAACGTGCCTGCTCTGGGTCTCACCTGTAGTAGCACCAGGAGACACCTTTCACCTGCACGCCGCACTGCAGCTCAATCCTGGCACAACAAGTACAGCTATTTCTTCACTGCCCTCCTATTGTGTCCCAGGAAGCTGCGCTGTATCCCATCGGAGGTGGCAATCATGTGCTTGAGGAGGGAAAACCTCCTGTAGGTTTCGTGTAGGCAGGAACTACGAAAGAAGGAAGATTGAGTTATTCCTTGGTGAGAAAAGGGAGGAGGGGAGAGATGTAATTATACCACCAGTAAGCCCGTTCCCCTGGCGCCAAGTTCAGCTTCTGGCAGCCTCACCTGCGTCCAGGAGAGGGGTGTGCCACAGTGTTCTGTGGGTGCTTTTCCAGGACCGGTCACCAGCATTTACTGCCAGGTGCCTGAGACTGGGACTCACCCCCCAGAGTGTCGACACCCCACCCCCAGGGACTCCCTCTTCAAAAACTGTCATTCTAAAATCTTGTCCACGTCAAAGTTGAGTGGCAGGCTATTTCAGCAATCTATAAATAGAATCGAGGTGGGACTCTGTTTTAAAGAACGAAAACATTAGAGGCATGCCGCCAAAACTGTCACACTTCCGTCTCAGTTAACATAGGAACGTGCACCTCTGCCACCAAAGCCTACGGTGGCATTTTGCCTTTAGCTGCTGGTCTCGGTCTTTCTGCTATGCCCCTGAACTTAAACGTTATCTATATTTTAATTCCAACATTGCACCATAGGGAACCTGGGATGTCTCAAAGCCTTCAGGTGGTTGACAATGAGGGTCACGTGTTACAGGAACGAAGCCCCAACTGGGTGTGCGTCTATTGGTTCATGATCTCCTTTTCTCGCTCGCTTTGCCATTGGCCAGATGCCGGACTAGCCCTCGATGGCTTCTTTGATCCTATCCTTCCCATCTTACTTAGAAGAACGCTAAACCCAGCCACATGCTCTTGTGAAGCTGCTACATATACATGTGTGCATGGCGAGTGAACGAATTAGGAAAACCACAATCTGTCACATGCAAATTAAGAGGAGACAAGTTTTTCTCGGTGTCTATATATAGGTGGTGGGTGTGCGCATATACAAAGAGGAAAAGAGAGAATATTCTTCTTCACTATAAAATCATAACCACGGAAATGTAGAGCCATGCTTCTCAAACTCGAATGTGCTAAAGGATCACCTGGGATTCTTACATAAGGGCAGATGTTAATGTAGTAGGACTGGGGGTGGGAGGCTGAGATTTTATGTATCTGACAAGATCACTCGTGAGGATCAGCGGAGATCTAGAGAGCAGCTAAAGTGGGCGTCCCCAGTGTGCAGCCCCCTGGGTAGCAGAAGCAGCGTCCCTGAGGAAGTGCTTGTTAATGCACATTTTGAGTTCTGCCCCTATGAGTTCAGAAGTCCGTGTTTGAATGAGCCCTCCGAGTGCCTCATAAGGCCCTGGGTGGCTCGAACCATTTGCACTGATGGATGGGCTGCTAGCCCACCACAAGAAAAGCCCTGGTGACTGCTTCCAATCAGACTGCAGCCACCAAAGTCCGATGGAGAAGTTCCACACTGCAGTACCCAGGGCCACCAGGAGTCGGAATAGGTTCAAGGTCACCTGACAACAGTCACCACCACCAGGCGCTTCTGCTAACGGTCGAGAATCACTGCTCCACTGTCACTTCTCCTCCTCCCCTCTGCACCCAAAAATTCACAGAATGAAACAACAGAGCCTCTAGGGACAACTGCGAGGCTGGCACGGGCCTGGGCGGTGTTTCCTTCCCTGGCACACAGGGTTGCTATGAGTCCGCACCGACTCCTTGGATCCAACAGCAGCCTAAACCCTGTCTGACCGCCTCCAGGGGGCAATTGCACGTGAACAACAGAGTCCAGATTCAATCGCAGGTCTGTTCATCCCAAAGCTATTGGCTCTTCCCCCAAAGGAAGATGCCTTCTCCTCGTTCTAACGGGCAGGGTCACTTTCGTTCCTTCCCAGCGGGGTGCTGGAGAGCTGGACTGCCCGAGCCTGCCCTTGATTCTGAAAGTCAAGAACAACTCACTGCAACGTGGAGAGAACAGGACCCATGCTCAACACACTAGAGTCCTGTGACGCAGGGAATGTGCTCGACGGGTTTAAGAAATAGGATGAATGGCGCTGGGCAGGGTTCAATTCCTTCAGCTCCTCTAAGCTGAGAGACCAGAAGGTGGAAGCGAGAGGGAGGGGTGGGGGCGTGGGAGGCACTGGCAGGGTTTTGAGCCGAAGCCAGATTGTAGTTTCTCTGCTCAGGGAAGGCTCCGGGCTGACTTGCTGTCCCATCAGAAAGGAGGACACCTACCTCATGAAGCAGTCTCTGGGGATTGCAGGTGGGGGCAAGAAGGATTTCTGAGCTCTAGAAGGTGGCTGCTGGACATGATTGCCTTCACCTTATCACAGGGAAGAAACATGCCCACAGGTAGTCTCCGAATGGGGTGGATTTGGAAGACAGGCAACCCCACTGAGAAGACCTCTCCATGAGGTCGCCAGCACCTGAGCCTCAGGTACCCCCAAAAAGGACAGTCCCCCTTCTGGGCCCATGAGGACTGGCTGAGAGGAGATGGGGAGAGCCACGCCCATACCAGCTGAGCCCCTCATTAAGACAGCCTCAGGACCAACTTGTTCAAGCCTCTCTTCCCTTTCCAGCCAGGTATTGGGATGTTCCCCTGCTCGCCCCCTGTCCATCTCCCACCCTACCTCTCACACACTGGACACTGGCAGGATCAGGTCTTGGACATTTCCCCATCTCCCCCTCTCTGCACCTGGCCCAGGAGACTTTTGTCCCTGTGGGTAGCAGCCTACACCTGGCTCTCAGCTCCAGGGCATCCTGCATTGACCAGGTCCCCAGAAGCTATGTCATCCTTCAGCCTTGGGGGCTTGTTGCTCCTTGCTCGCTCCCCAAACCCTCATGAAGCGCCCCTCATTTCTGAAGCCCACCAAAGAAGTCATTCGCCATTCCCTTTCAGGGGTCCTCAAACTTTTTAAACAGGGGGCCAGTTCACTGTCCCTCAGACCCATTGGAAGTCTGGATTATGGTTTTAAAAAAAACTATGAACAAATTCCTATACACACTGCACATATCTTATTTTGAAGTAAAAAAACAAAAGGGGGAAAAACACCCGGCGGGCCGGATAAATGTTCTCAGCGGGCCACATGTGGCCCGTGGGCCATAGTTTGAGGACCCATGCAGTCTCTGCCTGGATTCACCATAATGTTCCCGTAGCTCTAAAGCCTTGATTTCCACGTCTAGAAGCTAGGAACAAGGATCATGGTGGGTGCCCCAATGGCATAGTGGGCTAGGCATCAGACTCACTTTCTAACCTCAAGATCAACCGTCGAAAACCCCCAGCCACTCCTCGGGAGAAAGAGAGGCTGCATGCTCTCCTAAACATTGACAGTCCTGGAAACCCCCAAGGAGCCACTCCTTCTACTCTGTCCCGTAGTCACTATGAATCAGAACGGACGTGTTGGCAGTGGCTACCTGTTAGGGCTATTATAACAGGATCATGTCTATGTCCTTGTACTCAGCGGGCCTGACCCACAGGAAACTCCAAACTTACGGCCATCAGGTCATTTCCAACTCAGAGCAACCCTAGATCCCGGTCTTAAGCCTGCCAAGACACCGAGTATGGCTTAGTCTGGGTCAGCTGGTCCTTTTCAATGGAGTGAAAGGGAGATGTGGTTTTTGTGAGGGGGCGTGTTTTTCTTTTATGCGCTGCAATGTGATAGGGGCCCAGGCCTGGAACATCTGCCCCACTTCCTCTACCGACTGACGGCCAGCTACTCCCAAGGCCTCCCTGGCAGCGGCAGGCTGCGGGGCTGAAATGGACTCAAAAGGCTGCTGAGACTTTGGGAACAGAGGCATTGTCAAGAAGGCTCTCCCCAGATGCAGCCCACCCCTCCCCCATCGACTCCAGTCCTTCTCTGTCCTCACTGTGGGCCGTTCTTCTCCACTCACTCTGACAGCGGAGACCCCACCTGTAAAGGTTTAACTGTTGGTGGTCCCTTGTGATGGGAGCCTCAGGAAGGGTGGGCATGTTCTTAGCGCACGTGCTATGCAGGCACGAGGCAGAGGTGTCCACACACTGGGTTTCGTAAGATCTTATTTCCAGGTTCTTTCCATCCCTCCAAAGAATGTCAGGGGGCGGGGCCACGCCATCCAGCACTCCTTCCATTGCCTGGCCCCACTCCCTGGTTTGATTGCGTAGCACAAAGCGCTTCAGTAATACCGTTTGTAGCTGACTGGTGATGGGGGTAATTGATGCCGAAACCCAGGGGAGGCAGAACACGCAGTTTCTGAGTCATCGTCTCCTCTGTTCAACTTTGCAGCTCGGCTTTCTGACGCCAAGTCATCCAATTTGTGTGGGAACCGAGCATATGGGAAATCTTTGGTAAGTGGAAGCTATCGCTGATTCCGCGTGGCGATTACCTCGCCGTGCCTGGTTTCACTGTGCCAACCATGTGGATTCATTGTCTTTTGTTCCAGGTTTATGAGAAAAGCTTAGCTGGGGGATCCCGTGTTGTGTTCTTGTGGCCCTCACTAGTTGCTTCTATTGATTCTGCCTGAAATGCAGCTCTTGGTCAGACAAAAAGAAAGCATTACCCCATGGGCATCTCATAAATGGGAAAAAAAAGAAATATGGTTACCAGGTCAGGCCCCTGCCTGGTGGAAATGCTTAAGGAATCCCCAGGTTCAGCTATAAGCGTCAGGGGAGAAAAGGTCTTTTGAGGCCCTCTGCTCGGGTCAGGCTCTCCAGAAGGTGGCGGGAGTTGGGGATTGTTGTTAACGGCCATCAAGCGGGCTCCTGCCCAGCTGGGGCTCGGACCACGTCCCATTGTCATCCAGAGGGTGTTTCTTGGTGATTTTCTAGAAGTCAATCACCAGGCCTTTCTCCCTAGTCTGCCTGGCTCTGGGAGTTCCCCTAACACGTGTTCAGCTCATGAAAACACAAAAGGCACCCCGGACAGATGGGCACTGGTGATGCACGTGGTGCGTGGAACCAGCTCTCCCTCATAGAAAGGAAGAACAACGCTACCGCCGGACCACCAAGACCTCGGTGGAGCTCGGGGCACAGAACAGACATGAGAGAGCACCATAGTGGTGGAGAGGGGAGCAGGCATGAGGAGAGGAAGAAGCCAAAGCACCGTGCAGACCCCTCAGCTCCAGCACTGCGTCTGGGGTGCCTGTGGCCCAGCAGGTGGTTGGCGGCAGTTGATGTCAGGATTCTGGCTGAGGCAGAGGCAGCTGGGCATCCTAGGAACTCGTGGGCAGTTTGAACATCAGTTCTCAAGAGATACAGAGTCATAAAATGGCATAACTCAGAGAGACCGGTGAGACCACCTGGACAAGAGTCTTATCCTCCTCAATCAGCACACTGGGCCGAGAGGGAGACAGTTTCCTTAGGGGGTGCAGGGTGAGGGGGCTGGAAAGTTAATGTGGGGACTCCAAGCAGGTCATCACTGTGCTAGGACAATCACACAGTGACTATGGGGAGGGCACGCCATTCTGCCAGGGAGCCCACCACTCTAATCTTATACTCAGGGACAACTGAGAGGCTGGGCGGTGGCACTGGGAAGGGTCATCAGGCTGTGTCAGGCCAAGCAGCTGCCTTCGGGAGGCTCAGAGGAATACCCAAGTGACAAGAAGCAATGAGGTTCCTGGCCCCAAAAACACTTGGACAAGCTCAGACCGTGTCCTTGGCAGCAAGGTGGCCACAACTGGAAGGCCAGAGCAAACGGGGTGGGCTGGGTGTTGCCGGGGACATTGCTAGAGAAAGGCAATCGTAATGGTGAGATGAAGAGACTGGCCGGTCCCCATCCTTCTGGACCTGCCGCACGCCTGGGTCCGGAGGTTGCCATAAGCTATCATGAGAGGGCCTGACGTCTGAGTTGACAGTGAATGGCACAAACATGGCTGAACTCGGGAACGAGGGGGAGGGAGTGGGGGACAAGTACCCTCTCTCCAGCATGAAGGAGCCGACCTGGGCTCTCTCAGGCAGAGGCCGCAAGGTGAACAGTAACTGCACACACAAGGTGGGCCAGCTCAGGAAGGGAGGGGGGGCGGGGAGGAGGGGGCTTGAGAGTCCTCAGAAATTCCAGGCATGTGGTGCCTTTAAGCATCCGATGGGGCTTGGAGAGAGGCACAGAATCCAATGTACAGAGTTTTCCACTGACCTCTGGACTGGTCAGCCCCTCAAGCAGTGGCTAATTTAGTACAGGTGGCTTGACCACTTACCTCCTCCTCTGGAAGAGCCAAGGACCCCTGGTGTGGTGCTGACCTTGCAGTCAGCCATCCAAAACCATCAGCCGCTCTGCAGGAGAACAACAGGGCTTCCTGGTCCCCTCTGGAATGACCCTCTCGGAAACTCACTTATAAGACAGCTCGACCCTGTATTAAAAGATGGCTCTCAGTCAGCCGCGACTCGATGGCAGTGAGTGGGAAGGTCTGAGAGGGGCCACCAAGGGGGTCACGCAATCTTTCTGGAAAAGGAGAGACGGGACATACCTAAGGAGCAATTCTAGACCCGCACACAGGTGCCATAGATGGGACGCCAGCATGTGTCACACAGACACTAAGTGCTGTGGGGACCTCAAGGACAGAGGAAAACCCCCCTTGAGTCACCAGCCAGGGCAGGAAAACATGGGGCCTCCACCCAGACTGTCAAGGACCAGCACTAAAAGATGCAAAATTGACTTAGAGGCACAAGGGTGTGGTGGCATGGGGAGTTGGGGAGGGCAGGGAAGAGAAACAAATGGCGGGCCCTAACTGGTGTGGACAAGGCCTGAGGTGCAGCAGGGGTGGAGGGCGCTTTGGACAAGCCTTGGAGAGCAAGGTGCCGAGCTGGCTGAAACTCCCTGCAGAGTGAGGAGGCCACTGCAGGGTGCCAGGTGACCACTGGCATGGGGTATGTTGTGGGTCCAACCTTGAAGGTTGCCTCAGTGGGAATGGAGAGGAGGGTGTTCCTGCCAAGACTCTGTAGAGTGTGAGAAGGAACTGGAGACACAAGGTGGAGTGGGGAGAGGGGCCGGAGTGCACAGGTAAGACTATGTTTGCTATTTCTCTAGGTTAGTGATTCTCCAAGTGGGGCTTCTACCACATAATGTCAGAAACTCCAGGGCGCTTGCTAGACATGCAAAATATCAGGCCCCACTTGAGACCTGAGGAATCCGGGATTGGGGTGGGATCCAGCAATCTGCTATCAGAAGGGCTTCAGGGGAGCACACTATTGCTTCAGACTCCTTATACTTCAACTAGCCATCCCTCTTTCAAATGAGGGCCAGAGGTGGGGACATGGGGACATCCTTACCGTCCTTTCCTCTCCTTCCCATGTAGATCCCTCTGGTTCCCCGGATTTCAGTGAATGCCCCAGTCACAGTGGAGGCGGCAGCCACAGGCTTGGACAAAGGGACTGGGATGATGAAGGGGTAAGTACTGAGCCTCATTTAAAGCTGGCGTGGCTTTTAAAAAGAGGCACAGGTGGCCAGGGAGCCAAGATGTTCCAGCAAAAGCCAAGCCAGCTTTAAGTGATCTTCTCATGAGGGCAACAATCTGGCTGGCTGTCACACCTGGTCGACATTTCCCTAGAACTAAGCTGAAGTGTGGGCGATAGCTTCCACTCCATTAATGCCAGCTTCTTGAGTCTTAAACAAGTCTCACTTGAGAGCATTTTTTGCTTAATTGGGTGGTGTGGGTGGTGTGGTGGGTTATGGCTTGCTAATGGCAAGTTCAGCCATTCAAGACCACCAATCACCCTGTAGGAGGAAAATGAGGCTTTCTCCTCCAGTGAAGAGTTGTCATATATTGGAAACCCACTGGGATAGTTGGACCCTGTCCTGTAGTCTCGCTGGGAGTCAGAATCGACTCAGTGGCAGTGAGCTTGGAGCTTGAGTTTGGCTATAGAGACAGGGCAAGGAGAAGGGATAAAGGAGTTATTGCTTAGTGGGTACTTAGTGTCTGTTTGGAGAAGCCCCAAGCTCAAGCTCCAAGCTCACTGCTAAAAGCCTCTGAGAGAGCAGACCAGAGCGTGGACGAAGAGGAGAATTTGAGGCCCTCTGGGCCAGAGTCCTTGGGCCCTGCTGCCTCACCCCTCGTGATGCTCACCTTGGGGGAATCATTCCTATGGGAATCCCAGCAGTAACCCTCCAACCACACAGAGCCAGGCTAGCACAGAGATGTGCTAACAGAGGAGCAGGGGGCTTAGGCTACTCTTCTCCAGGGTGAACGATGAAAACTCCGACTCAATGGAGTTACTGCTATTCTTTCCACCCCTGGTTTCTTTAGCTCCAGACACCTCAAGAAGATGGCTGAAGAGTATCCAGCCCTCCCCCAAGGGGCAGAAGCTTCCCGACCACTGACAGGAGGTGCTTCCTGTGGTGTGCCCAGCATCCTCCGGAAAATGTGGATGAGGCACACAAAAAAATCAGAATATGTGGGAGCCACCAACAGTGCCTTTGAGGCTGACTAAAGGTGACCTTCACCTTTAGCTCACTGGATGGGGGTTGGGGGCTTGAGGATTGAGACTGAGCCTTGTTCTCTGTTGCTGGTGTCTGGTGGGATCATTATTGTCCCTTGCTAACCAATTGCCCTGGCTTAGGGCACAGGGTAAAAACAACAACAACAAACAAAAACATCCCTTGAAGGCAAATGAAACCATTCCTTCTTAGAATTTCTAAAACTATTGATCCTAAAGTTCGTATTCCTGTCTCTAGCTATACTGTAATCTAAACCTGCCTGCGTTATTTTAAAGGCGTTTAAGGAAGGCAGGAGGAAATTCTTCTGTCTTCCTTATTTGTTCTCTATGTGTGATTTCTGACTTAATCTAAGAGCTTGATGTCTGAGGCACTCTTGACTACAGTGGTTCTTACTCTCCCTGTCATTATATTTATTTCAGCTTCCTGAAGTACTATTTTTTATGGCAAAGCACTGCCTATGGACTTAGTACTTCTCATACCCACTAGACTCTGTCATCAAGATTGGGTTTGATGCTGTTTGGGCATGACTGCATGCAATCTGTTCTTCTATGTGTCATGTTTCTATAGGACAATAGGGTGAAACGTTCAATGGTGAGAGCTCATGTTTTCTCAAGTGACATAGCTGAGTGGAAATAATAATGCCTGGCTTTGAAATCATGATTTTAATTTTGGGAAGTGCTTTCCCATTCAGCATCTCTGCTTAGCTTCACTGAACTGCTGTTGGAGAAAGCATCGTCAGTTCCAGGCTACGCCAGGGCCCACTGAGGCAGTCCGAGGTTGTGTCGTAGAAGTAGACAGCAGGTCTTCAACTTCATCTCCAGCTAACTCCTTGCTTTGCTTATTCTATTAGCTTACTTAAGGATGCTTTTGCAATTGAGTGGCACAAGAAATACTCTTGAATATCTCTAGGGAATGTGAAGGGAATGCTCTGATGTGGAACAAGTAAGTGTAGGTCAAAACAACTCAGTATCATATGGCTCAACCTTATAACTGTACTTTCCTTCTTTCTATGGAAACCTCATCACCAACTCCGTTGTCAAGTCAGTGTTTTTAAATGACTTTATAATGCTGATAGTCATCATTGTGATTACTGTTTATTGAATGCCTATCTTGAGCCAGCCATCTTACTTGGCAATTCCCATACTTCACCCTAATTTTTCTAACAACTCAGAGTTAGGTGGCCTCGCCCATGGGATAAACTTAACCAAAGAGGTTAAATGATTAGTCTGAGGGCATATAGATGTCAGGCTACAAAGCCTGTGTTATATCTACTCCTGCACACAAAATAGTTCAGAATGTAGAGAAGGACCATGGTTAGGTAACCCATCTCATGCTAAGCGCACTTGATTGGTAGAAGCTGCCTGGAGTGGCATGTTCAGATGGAATCTGAGATAAAAGAGTGCAGCAATCAATTAGTACTGACTGCTATGGACAGGGACAGTGGAGTTTGCCTGGTTTATTTACCATCTCTGGCTTAAACTCTGTCTCTGGAGGCTAATTTCCAAATTCAAGGGTGAGCAATGTTGTTAACATTAATCCAACCCATGTAATGAAGATTTGCGGTTTAATTTAGCCTCGGGCCCTGTTGGAAATGGCCATGTTTCATCATATTCCAGATCTCTGACTCAACTGTAATCCACCTGACTGCTGCTCTGTGGCTGTGTTTTGCTTTTGCCCTCTACCTTACCTACTTCTTTGTCCCAGTTGAACCGCAAAAGGTCTGGACTCCTGGGTTTTTAACTTGCAAATCTCTACTCTCTAAACATTGCTTTAAATCTCAACACATAATCTTCTCCTCCAAGTGTATTTGAAGACCTAGGTACCAATTGCTATTCTGAAGAGGAACTCGTCCCAATGGACTATTCAACTGCCTTTTAGAGTCTAGACCTTGGGTTCTAGAACACAGCCAGGGAGCAAACATGTGGAACCGATCCATCAGAGTCTGCTAAGACTACTTCATCTTATTTAATTTATATCTGATGTCCTCTACTTGTACGTGGCAGCTGAAGACTTGTGTAGGATGAAACCAATTTATTTATTTTTAATTTCAATATTTTATGGTGAAGTATTTGCCTTATATAGAACTTTCTCTTTTTTTGTCCATTCAAATAAAATAAACTGTGTTTTGTCTATTACTTTAAGAAACCACCACTAGGGAGTGCTGGAGGCTCACTCACTGAATGAGAAGAAGAGGTTCCACAACGGGAAAGAATTGGGTATCTGGGCCTCACTGATCTTGTGCCGAAATGAGAGGCAACAGAAGAAAGAACCTACTGTGTTCTTTCCGTTCTAAGATGATGTCTGCTTTTGATATCACAAGCCCTGCCCAGCAGTCAATACCAATGGTCATTTCCGACGGGGCTGGCCTGGTCCTACCTGCCTTGTCTGGACTTCCCCTCCTCCTGCCAATCCCTCAGTCCCTACTACGACAATTCCCCCCGGGGGTCCACTGGCCACCAGCCTGCTGACCTCTCACCCTTCCTCAGCAGGAGGAAGACCCAGCTTTCCTCTTCAGTTACCACCTCCTGGTCAGCCTCTCCCCAGTCAGCCTCCATGACTCATGTTGCAGCTACTTGCTGAAGGAGGCCAAGTCTAGTCGCCCGGGAACGATCCAGACTGGAGTCTTCTCATGCCAGCGTTCCGGGACATTTAGGGTATTAAAATCGCCTCAGTTGGGACCGAGTCCAATCAAATATTTCGGTTCTGACTTGAGCGTGCTCGATGGCAAAGCTACCCACCCCACCCAGGCCTCCAGTCGCCTTCAGAGCAGGCAGATGGGCAGTGGGTAGAAAAAGTAGCTCCAACTGGGGCCCAGTCTTAAAAGGAAACATGTGACAAGTTCCCTCTGACTCTAGTGGGCAGAAAGCACAGGCAAACAAGATGACTCTCCCGAGGATTTGAATGTGCCTTCTGTTTTTCATTCGTTGTAAGAATGTCAGCTTCCATTGATGAGTTAGACTGGGTAAAGAAGCAAAACCAGTGACATTCGCATGTGGATGTATACAAAATGGTATTTCTCTCAAGAAATGGCTCACACAGCTGCAGAAGTGGGTTGGTTCAGTCAGGTTCAAGTCCATGGGTCGGATGTAAACTGAAGTCTTCTCCTTACTCCTGTAGCTGCAGGAGCTGATGAACAAGAAATAGAAAGCTGTAGCAAGAAAACGACCCATGCGCTGGGTGGATGCAGAACTGAATGAATCCGAGATCGGCGCTTCGATGATGGCTCCTGGGTTCAGCCAGCCATGTAACAGGAAGCTCACTGACCAGATGCAAGGTCCCAAACCAGTAGTAGAAGTCAGCTAGCTTCCATACACAATTTATACTAAGAGTTAGCCACACCCTGCAGGAAATCGCCCTCCATCATATCAAGGCTGTGACCAGATAGGAAGGTCTATGCCCCCCATGACTGCCTGGTTGCTTCCCGGATGATCCCGTCATGGCATTGACCGCATTATGTTACATCACATCATGGGGGAATCCTGGCTCAGCCAAGTTCCCATAAAAGCAATCACAATTTAGAAGTCTGTGGTGAGTCCCTCATGACAACGGATGTAGGTGTCCTTCTCCAAGCCAGATGCCACTCTTAGGATGTTTCCGTTTGTTACTTTGGGCCTGAGATAAGACTCACACCTCTTAATACCCCTTCTTAGGCGAGAGTAGGTAGATGGGAAAGACATGTTGCCAAGAGAGAAACAGGAGAAGGAACCCGACGGGATGTCTTCAGTGACAGGGCCCCTGAACCTGGCCCAACCTTGTTCCTCTCCTCTAGTTGAGGTTTGTGGAGAAGCGAGGGCGAGATGCTGATACTACGTACATGACTTCTAAAGGCCTGAGCAGCCCTGGAGACCCGAGTGCTAAGTTTTAAGCTCGGAGCTGTCCCTCTGCATAGATTACCTTGAGGTCATCTTTCCTACGGAGCCAGTGGGTGATGCCAACAATGAAGTGCTCAGCTACTAGCTGAAAGTTTGGAGGTTTGAATCCTCCCAAAGGTGCCAGTGAAGAACAGTGATAGCTATTGACGCCCCTATGGAGTATGTTTCTACTCTGGCACACCTGGGTGCCAGTGATTCAGAGAGGATTACAGGCAATTGGTTGGGTTGGGTTTTATCCCCTTGTCCCAGGGTGCCTGCCATCAAGCCTTTGCCTGATCACCTTAGAGGGACCAGGCATTCCCAGGAAGTAACAGGTGAGTCTGGATCTTGTCCAGCTCCCAATAGGCAAGCAAGTGCCTAGAATTCTGGGGGACAGTTGACCAATGTCATCCAAAAAAGAAGAAATGGAGTTTCTAGAGTCCCCATCAAGCAGATTTTACTGACATCAGACTCCCCTGAAGTTGGGACTCAATCTCGACTAAGGGAAGCAGGAAGCAACTCCCGGTCCCCACAGTGGTGAATTGGGTGTTGGGAAGGCTATATATGAGGCTGGGAGTGGTGGGGGGCTGGGTGGGGGACCTGAGGAGCTACTCACGAGGCTGGGGGTGGAGGGAGGTTGGGAAGGCTCCAATCAGGAGTTAATCAATAGCTCTTGATGAATAAGACAGCTATTTTTAAAATAACTGTCGAAGGCTTTGAGTGTGAACTCTTTCTCTAGGCGACAGCATTCTGATCTAGATCAAGAGACCAAGCAAACAGTGGGAATGGCTCCTTCCCTGCACTCAGGACTAGTGCCAGGTGAGGCTTATGTTCAGTGTGCCCCTTCCTCCTGCCCCCCATCTTTCCAGCCAACCAGCACACACACCCCTAGTCTCTTTGCTCCTTATCCCACTTTCCCCACACCCATCTCCTTGGGTAGGGCCGGAGCCCTCTAAATAGCCTCTGCCAACAGGACTTCCCTCTCTTTTTCCCCTTGTGGGGCCTTCTATCTTGGTCAAAGCCTACGCTGACTGGCCCAACTGCCAGAAGCACCCATTGGCTGAGTGCTTGACAGAGCCACGTCACCACATGGAGACTGTTTCCTCCTAGCTAAGCAGAAAATGTAACATCTTCCCCCAAATGTTCTATAAAAGGTTAAACAAAAGAGCCAGAGCTGGCGTCCTGCTGGCATGGGCAGGCATCTCTGTGGGTGGGCGAATGTGCTGGACAATGTCCACCCTGCTGAGTGATGGCAATGCCTGCAGCTCTCCAGCATCCCTACTGGCTGCCCAGCCCCTCCTTTAGGGCGGGGGAGCTGCAGGGCATGCCCAACTCGATGGCCAGGCGTTAGTCTCACTGGCTCACACAGTGCCAGTTGTTAGTTGTTTGATTCTTTTAAACAATCTGATTGACATCATTCAAATATCATACATTTCAATGGTTTGATCATATTAAAAAGAGTTGTTTGATCATCACAATCAATTGTAGAACATTTTATTCTCTCGTGCTAATTATTATTAGCTTTCCATTTCTCCTCCATCTCCCCTGCCATCACCTTAAGAAACGATTTATCCAGTTACTGTCTCTATGGATTTACCTATACTGGATTTCATAAACAGAAAAATATACAAAACCAACAACAAAATAAAACAGAGAAAACCCTCAAATGAAAAGAAGCAGGAAATATTAAAAACTAGAACAAATTTAAAATAGGTCAACATGGAGAACCAATGCTAACCTGTTGAATTTTAACCTAAGTTCATCTGCATTCATCCACTTTTCAATGCACTCCATCTGACAGCAACGCTATTCACAGGGGAGTCCTTGGAGGCTTGATTCACATGGGGACCCTGGAAATGGATTGGGGGATTTCGCTGCCACCTATAGCCTCTGAGAACTGGGTGCTCAGAATGTAAGCTCCAATATCATCCTCTCCTTCAGGATGGATTTTATTATTTATAAACCTTGGATCGCACCACTGATGTGCTCCTTAGTTGCTAGAGTGTGGACCGCAGATTCCAATCTGGGTACAACAGATTGGCATGTTTCTGACTCATACACTGAGGTGGAGACCACATGAATGTAAGTGAGGTGGAGGCATGGAGAAAGCCTTCTGACACAGCTATCAGCCATTGTGCCTCTGCATACGTCCCTGGAGGCCTGGGGCAGGCTTTCTTGCGTGCTGGGGGTAAATAGGATGGAGGGAAGAAGAGAAAGGAAGGGGAGGTTAGGCCTGGCTCTGAATGGGAAAGCAAATTCAGCTACCTTCTCTATTTTAACCAACTGTCATCAGTCACCCTCCACTCAAGGTGGCCCTCAGGTGTCACACTAGAATTGTGCTCCACAGGGATTTCCAGGGCATCAGGCCTTTTCTCGGAGATGTCTCTGGGTAGATCTGAACCCCCAACCTTTTGGTTCACACCCATGTATGTTGCTTGTATCACCTTCCCTTTACTGAGAAACCCGTTTGTCACCTAACAGGATTTACACTTCCTTGGATTCCAAAAGCAGTGATCCTCAGATTCAAGTAACCTCCTGAAAGAAGAAAGGAAATGGCCACCCCAGATGATCAGGGGTCCCAGCGCCCAGGCCCGTGCTCCAGGGACACCATGGCCTCTAGGGGAGGGTCATGAGCATGGACACAAAGACAGGAATTCCCACACTGAGCCTCAGCCCTGTCACTTCTGTGGCATGTGCTCATGTGTCTCTGTGTACACGTGCGCGCATATGTGCATGCCTTGTGCGCATGTGTATTCTGTCTGTGTCGGGGCATGTACGTGTGTGCATGCGTGTGGTGTGTCTTTGGAACAAGTTGCTTGGGTTTCGTTGAGCCTCTGTTTTTCCTCATTTGTGAGACATGGATTGAATCCCCTGCCCCACCACCCTCACAGGCTGATCAAAGATCAAAAAGAGAGCTGCGCACAAAAGAGCTTTGCAAATTATGAATTGCTCTACCACCATCTGGTGTTATGATTACCCATTCCATTCAGAAAGAAGCCAAGTTGGGCGTGGGGGAGAAATGATTCAGATGCTTAAGACAGGCGTGTGGGCAGAAGAGCTAGTCAGGGACTGAAAATAGAAGGCATTAAGTCCCCATGCCAGGTTCCTGGGGTGGGCCTATCAGCTGCTGGCAGAGCCCAGAGCTTACCTGCTCCCAGTGCGGCTTGAGGAGCCTCAATTTGCACCCACGGTGCCCATACCACTGCCTTGGTCAGCACTGGCCTGTGGCCCTCAGCTCCAAAGCAGAGAGAAGAAAGCAGGGACCACTCCTTGCATTTCACTGGTGAATT